AAGTTTCACGACTAAATCGGGCATGGTTACAATGCTAAGGTCGTCAGAAAATCTGTCCAAAGAAATACAAGCACAAAGACATGTCCTTCTTGCCCAGACAATCTGAAAACTTCATTTCTATAAAGTTTTGTGAATGCCTTTTGCATGGTTGCAACACTATCATAGTCCCAAAATCTCTCCCAAGACAAACACACACAACTGTAGTTAGTTACACAAAGTGGCAAATCCATAGGTATTTATCACAAGGACAAATACAGCATCTACCTGAGGCACAGTGTGAGTGTGTATCATTTTGACAGTTTTTTTAATAAATATTATATTTCAGCCCACTTTCTTAACACAATTGATGTCCATATGTTCTATTGTCAGTCATTCTGTCTTCCAAATATTTAGTTTGACCCGCAGCTACACAAATCAGTACCTGAAATAACACAAGCCCTTTTATTGATTCCACATCTTCAGGTGAAGCAATTCAAAGACCGTGGCCCCCGTCGGGAGAGGCAAAGTGAAGGGGCAGCAGGGCCATCATGTGAAGGAGAGACAGACCAACTATAACCTTATAAAGTGCTACTTATTTTCTCAATTGTGGAAATAAGGCACTTATATAGAAAAGAGAGGCAGGGAATCTGTCAGAGGGAAGATAGAACAGAAAGAGAGGGACAGAGGACTAGAAAGGGAAGCTACAGTGGCAACTTCCCAGCAATTCCGGTATAAGCTTTTTCAGAGCACTCCTGGTGCGTCTGCTAGAGGGGGGTAACAAGTCCCCCGGATTTGTTCTCGATATCCATGTTCTTCCTTGAAATCCAACAACTGCTTCGGCAGGAGGTCTGTGCAGAAGTCTCCTGCGGAGGCTTTATTTGCAGGCAGGAAAACCTCAGGCTATGAGAACAAGAAAGGGTTGTTGGAGGACTCTTGAACAATTCTGACAGTGTCTGGCAGCATTATTAGAACTCTGCAGCAGCAAGGCCTGTCCATTTTCACAGTTTTCCATTGCTGTAAAGACTCTTCAATGAAGGGCTGACAGACAAGGGCAGAGAGACAGACATTGAAAGTTTTTCATATTCCATCAAGTTAATCAAAACTTCTTTCATATCTCCCCCACCAGTACAGAGTTAGATGCCTAGTGGCTGTTGCCAGTGAACCTCAGCCAAGGCCAAATGCCCTTTCTTGCGATGTTAACGAAATATAATAATAATGCATGGACCCACGATTCGGATCCACTCAAATATTTAATGGGTTCTTCCTTGGTCAATGCTACACCATTCCATTAAAAAGGGGCCATTAGTCATCCTGTTGACAGACTGACAAACAGAACCAAAACATAACCTCCTTGGCGGTAAAATACAGAAGTTTTTCTTTTTTAAATGTAATTCTCCTCAGCACAATAATACCCTATAAGTAATGGGTGTAAAGCTATGTTCACTGGAGGCTTATCTCATAGTGATTTTTTAAGCTACGTTGCCTGTGCAGATTCCCAAAAGCAGATGGCAAAACTTGGTAAAGTAGGACAAGAATTCTCAACTAAAGTAAAAGAATGTTCTTTGTGACTCAACAACCTTTTCATCAAATAACAGCCGTATTTAGAAGAAGCCATGATGCTAATCCCCTAATCCACTACACAGAGTTCCTCCTGGTTCGCTAACCCCAGGTCTGGCCACAACGTCTCACTTCACAGACTTTGGCAATTAAATCCTCACCTGTCCGACGTGACTCTGCTTGTGCCTCGTGCATTAATAAGCGTGCATGTGTAAGTGAGTGTGTGTTCATTGGTGGTGGTGTGTCTGTGGTGCAAGGGGGCAGACAGAGGGGATGTGGGTGGAGAGGTAATGTCAGGATCTGAGAGGGAAAAACTTGTTCTTTCAGCCAGCAGCTTAGCGCTGATCAGTGAACCCTGTTCAATCCTCATGCCTCTCCCTCACCTCCCCCCACCCCCTCACTCTGTGTGACAGCAAATGGATCTAATTACAGCAAAGAAGTAGAGAGCTAACGTCAGAGAAGGAATGACAGAAGACGAAAATACAGGGATGGAAAGAAATCAATGAAGCAAGACAAGAGGGAAAAGAAAAACATAACAGAGTGAGAGCAGGAGCGATACAAAGACATGAAGGGTGGTGTGAGAGGGGATGAAGAGGTGAAGAAGAGGATGTTTAAAAGGCACAGAGGGAGTAGGAGGGTAGCTGTAATTATCTTCTATGTCTGCCAGTGATGAAACATTGCCTATTGTGTTACCATTGTTTCACTGCTGCTGTTCATCTGGTGTTTGTTTATCTGGGTTATTAACAAGGTCGGCTCAGTCCGCTGAACTCATTGTTAAGTCACAGTGAGTGTGCCCCGCATTTGAGTAAAAGAGATACATGTGGCAAAACCCACACACACACACACATAGACAAACACACAGACACGCATGCAATCAGTGTCTCTCAGAACAAAAACACACACGAATACAAGGCTGCTAAATTTCTATTGTGCTACAACTGAAGTTCCCAAAAATAATACCGCTCAAGTTCATTGTTTTCTCGAAAAGCAGAGGAGGCGCAGAAACATTTATCCTGCTGTGATTGCTCTGGGGAGCGATTCAAAATGTTTTTTTACAGGTGACATTTAACTAGTTTCTAATGTCACGCTAGATACAAGCGTCTTTCTGTTACGTGTGTCCGCTATTTCTCTGCCTCTTGTAAATTGACAGACATAATACTTGTGCCATATTGTGAGACTTTTTTTTTCTCCTGAGCCTGCTTTTGAACTCAAACTTGGATTGTAAGCAGATTTAAATGAGAAGCTGCCCGGAGCTTGTGCCCAAAGCGGTTGGTTAGGATGTGTTGCCAAAAGCCATCCTACAGACTGAAGAAGTCAGGAGACGAGTTCATCTCAAAACAGTGACATTGGTTAAAGCAGCCTAGAGAGCTAAAGCCGACAATGTCCGAGAAATAAATATATCAACTGCTTGAAGATGCCGCATGAATACTGTAGACTGAAAAATAAATGTCTTCAAACAGCCATGTCAAAAGGGTGAAGACCAAAAGCTTACTCTGTTGTTATACTCTTAATCTGAGCTCTAAGCAAAGACAGATTTCTCCTAAATCCATGTTTCACTCACCTCCAGACCTCCCAGAACCAGGGTGCACAGTGAGCCACTGATAAGGCAACAGAAAGCTATAAAAAGATTATAGCTGCTGTCCTTTGACTTCAACAATATTCTAGGCTGATCCCTTCAGCTTAGCACTCAAACAATACTATCTGAGGGCAAAAGCTACTCCAGTGCTCGGTTACAGCGGCACTTTAAATGTCAGAGGAGCAGAAAATCAACAGGAAAGGGCATTTCAGAGTTAAGAGAGAAAAAACTATAAATATGACAGTGGATTATGAATGTCTGCTTGTGTGTGTTGGAGGAGAAGAACTGAAAAGTGAAATAAGGAAACAATGAATGTGCAAGAGGGGGAAAGGAATACAATATTTGTCTAAAAATGGCAAGGGTTAGAAAAAGGGTATCTAAAAAGACAGACTCCTTAAAAGAAAACTTTAAAAGATTGTATGAAAAACAGGAGAGGTGGAAGTGAAGTTTTCTTTGAGGAAGACTGTGAACCCAGGCTTGCTGAAGGTGCTAAAAATGTCAGTGCGATACCAAAAGCTTTGATACCATCCAAAAGTAAAAAAGAACAGAAAATGAAACAATCCCTTTTGCTACAATATTTGTTCTCTCTTGTTGTAACCTTGTCGAAAAACCACAACAAAGAACTTGCTGCTAACCTTTACGAGGGATTGTATTCTCTGAAAAAGAAAATGCCACTAACATAACTGTGTTTGTGCCCACAGCGCAGCAACACGCAGTGTCCACTCTGGTGAAGAAAAGTAATGTAGATTAAAGGGAGAGAAAAGAGAGGATGGTGGAAAAGAAAACAAACATATCAGAAAAACCTGAGTAGAAAGAATAGAGGGGAAATAATACACTCCATCTGGCTGTGTTTTAGCGTGTTATTATACACCAGGCGCTACGGGTCACAGGTAGATGTTCCCCTCATCGAGATGCATCCCATAGAGCACAGCTAGTCCTTCTTTGATGGTTACCATAGCAACTGTTAAACCATAATATGTTCTTGTGGTAAGCAGGGACATAAAGTATTTTGGTTAGTGAGCTTGATTTTATTAATTTACTCTGTACATAATAAAATATACATAATACATTCTAGGTCTAATTTCTACAATTAAACAGATAAGACACAAAAATCGTGTAATGTTTTGTAATACATTATTTACTCAATGTAATGTCCTTAAACTGCTTATTTTTGCCTGTTCTAGTGTGTGTGTGTGTGTGTGTGTGTGTGTGTGTGTGTGTGTGTGTGTGTGTGTGTGTGTGTGTGTGTGTGTGTGTGTGTGTGTGTGTGTGTGTGTGTGTGAGATGAGAGCAAGTCAATTAGGGGAGTGTTTACTAGGCACCCTGCCTGTGGCACTCCTGCTATTGAATCAATAGTTGGCTGCCACACAGCATGCTATTGTGGCATGATACTGAACACATTGAACACATATCTAATCCGCCCATCTTCCACCTAACTATCTGTCTGTCTAAATTCCTACTTCCTTTAATCTGTCTTTTTTTCTTTCCATCCTTTAACTCTTCATCCTCTCTTCCTCAGTCAATTGAAGTTAAACACCAGCTTCACAACTCCCTGTTCAGAGTGAGATCTGGGTGAAACGAGTGTGTGATAGGGTCACAAGCACATTGACATCGTAATAAACTGTATTCCATAGAGGGGACATGGTGTACTTGTTTTCAGACATGGCTGGCCTGAGAGAGGCAGTAGATAAACTGGTTGAGTGACTCAAGCGGAGTGACACATGTACTTAGTCACCAGAGTATCCCAATGTGCTGATATGAAATGGTATAAAGATCTTTGTTGAAACACACGCATTTCATTCTTGACCAGTTTCAGATATCAGAAATATTTCACAGTTGTGAGCACTTCAGGAGTGCTGTCATGCGTGCAGTGGATGTTTGGACTCACAGCGTGGCTCGGTGGTCTCCAGTAGGTCTGCGTGGCTTTGTCATAGTGATGCTGCGTCCGCCTGTCCATCTGTCTGTCTCCCTGTCGTAGTGAAGAGGGCGCCCTCTGGTGGTGACACTGACATCTGACCGGCCGCCCCTGTGCAGGCTGAGGGAGTAAGAATAATTTAATGAATGAAAGAAAGCTTATTAACCAATGTCTGGAAGCTGTATTTATTGACTTATTTTAACCTGGGCCAGATTTTCTACTTCTACATTAATGCTGGCACTAAGCAAGTCACTATGCAGGGCAAATCATGTGCAATCAGTGCAATTAGCACCACCTCAATTAAACTTTCAAACAATAAGTTCAATAGAAATTGACTTGGATGCTTAAAGATAATTTAAAAAGAAAGAAAGAGATAATTAATTTCTTGGATTTAGTATTTGGCATTTGGCATCAACAGTTAATGTGTAACCTTTTCCGGAATTATACTGTGGTGTAGTGGGGAACGGCGATCCCCCGCGTCCAACGACCACTACACCACTGGTGGCGAGGGAAACCACCCACTTAGTTGTGAAATATCAGATATAATAACATGAACAAACAGACGACAAATAAATAAAGAATGTGCAATATTTTCTTCAAACCATTTTTTTTTTTTCTACAAATAAAACAGATGACATTTGAAAAATTAAGGAATATTTTTGGCCGAAGCAATTAATTACAAATATGTGCATCTTCCCTTCTTCACATCGAATGTGGAAAAAGACAGTGAGTCAGAAGGTTATCATACATTTTGTATTATTACTGACATGTGAAAAACAAGCCCTGGTTGTAAGTGGGTACCCTTACATGGTAATTTAAAGATCCTTCAGTAAATGAAACTCACCTTGACATTTACTTTCAGCACATGACAGAAAATAACCTCCTTTTTCATCTGTTAAACCGCTTTGACTATCTTATCTCAATATAGGCTCTTTATCAGCCTTATGAATTATAAGCGCCATCCAATATGGAAACAAATACCAGAGCAATGATGTGCTTTACCTCATTTTGTACCTATTTCTGTAAGAAGTAAGCACTAAATCTCATATTATACCTTATGCGTTAATGAATAGCAGAGAAATATGTACTTGGCTGCAAGGACGACAGCAGAATCTGACAGAAATTGCTAGATTTCACCAGCCTTGTTGAAATCTGCAAAGCAGCTCAAAGAAAAAAAAAAGTGTGCATAATCATGAGCAGGCTGCCTCAACAGCGGTGGAAGCAGCTTCCAAAACTGCATTCTGTCAAGTCAGACTGAGAAATCAGTTTTCTGTCTGTGATGGTTCCACTTTTCTTTATCACATTATTTCATTTTCACTCCTCCCAGCTCTACACACACACAGAGTGCAACAGACTTTCTTCTGGCTGCCACACACACACAGCTTCTCTATTGTTTTATAATCAGTCCATTATGTTCAATTCAGTCAACTTTTCTCTCAGTTTTCTCGGTAACACTTCGACTCCCTCACTCTTAAGTAACTGCTATACAGTCTTAAAAACGATTTCGAGGACAAAAAGCAGATCCAGTAGCCGCTGACTTTCTAATTATAGATATCATGTTGACCAAATGTAGGGTTGGTCAGCACATTAAACATTTTAAACCCATTTAGTTGGCTTCATTGTTGTTCAATGTTGTCCTCAAGGGACATCAGAGGCTGTGTGAACACAAACCAGCTTCAGAATTCTTCTAACATAACCTTGGTTGCCCACATACTGTAGTGCTTCCAAACAAACAGAGGCAGCAGAGTAAATACTTCGGCTTCCCTCTTATCTTCTTACAACATCTTCCCTCTCACAGCCTCCACACTCATTAATGTCAGACACAGATCTGAAAATGTCCTTTTCGTTTTGCTTGTTGTGAGGTGAGGGTACAACAATGTTGTGCTCAGATGAAGAACTTACAGTGGGTGGGTGATCATTCTAATTGGAGGCATCGTATGCGGCAGGGAGGCTGGAGGACAGACCCTGCTTTGACATTATGGTATTTCTCTATACGACAGAGATTTGAATAATGTCAGCCAGGCATACGGTTGTATGGCTAACAAGCGATCCTGGTCAAGACACTAATGAATGTTGGAGTGGAGATGGAGTCAGCTTAAAGCGAACAGAATGGAGGTTATTGAAACGCAGTCTAGAGCGTGTGAGTAGACACATTGAAGTGCATAAGGGAGCAGAGAAATGAACTCCAACCTGCAGTAAAGGGTACCACAGTATGTCTTCACAGACCACTAGAGAGCTGAATGGTGGATCCGTTCATCTATCACAAGCCTTTTAAACTGTGTGTTTTCCTCAATCCCTCAAAGTGCCACAAAGCACAAGGTGATGATGTCTGTACAAACGCTATTTCTTCTCCTTTTTATATCTTTATCAAATCTGGTATTGATGTAAAAAAAAAAGATTGAAGGCTGAGCCCAGACATTTCAAGACTGAAGAGAAATGTTGTCAGGGTGATGAAATACCAGACTAGAAGCTACATGCTTGCAGGGCATGATGGCTACATGAAAGCAATCAGCAAACATGAGCAGGAGCCATTACAGCCCTGTGTGAACGTGCTCCAGGAACAACGCCTCTATGTACTGTACCACTACACGGAAGATGAACCTAAATAGATTTTCAGTGTATGAGCCTTGACAATTTACTTGTCAGTGATGAGCGTCACCTTAGTTCATATGTCATGTAGAGTGTCTTTCAAAGAATATACTTTGAACATGTATAACAGCTGCATCTTAACATAAAGAGGATGCTGATATGTTCCCTTCACTAGAGCTCCATAATAACAATCATATATATATGTATATATTTGCACCCTTATGCATCCAATATTGTCATTTGTTTTTTATTTGGCAAGCCAATGGTCTAAGGAGTGAGGGTTGCATTTGCAGAATCTCTCTGCGATAATATTGTCTGTTTCTAATCTCACTAATGACCTGTTTTTAAAAACTGTAGTACTTTCAAACATAAATGCAACAGAAACCCATCAGCAGAAATAACTCACAAACTGTAACAAGATAAAAAAAAACTGTCAACTGTCTATACTATCAGTGATAATGTCAGACAAAATAATATCTGCACGCCTTACAGATAGCTCCCAGCAAATGTAATTTATCAGCGCAACATTCTGATCCAACAGAGATCTTTGTCAGGCATTGTCAAACCTATTTGCTTTTTGCTCGGAGCTATGAGTACAGTGTGCAGATCTTGTCAGACTTTCGCCTCCAGTTGGTTTGATGATTCAGCACTTGTAGAAGTGTTTTGGATTTACGTGCCTTACGCTGTGTTTAATGTCTGTCATAGTCCAACATAAAAGACAGGACGACAATGTATTACTCAAATGAAATAGCTTCAATGTAATCGTATCTCCATCTGACATAGAATACATTTCCCTTTTCAGGCTTTTCACTTGTATCAGTCCTGTACACAACAACTCACCATTGGTTCCCGCTGATGTTGTAACTGTTGACACTGCAATGTGAGCTGAGCGATGGTCTTGTCTCGGCTCCTCAGCTCCTCTCTGAGCACCTGCACTTCCTTGATCAGCTCCTCCAACTGGAAAAGCACATACAGTATACTGTGAAGAAAACTGGAGACAAATAAAGAATATCCAAACAACCACTGCTATACACCTAAAGTAAAGAGTGTTACCTGTGATGCAGTTGTATTGTCTTCAATATATTCAGGAACATCTGCTGGAGAGTCAGTATCCTCAAGCTGGAAACAAACAAACAAATAAACACGCACAACAGCGGGCACACACACACACACACAGAGTTCACAGTGAGCTGGATCAATGACGATTGCCTCGGGCATGCCTCAAGAGCAATATTTCTGCCACAGTGAAATAACTTGACTATTTAGAATATATACTTTGCTGACCATGAACTGTAAGCCTCCAATGTTAGATACCTCAGGCAGAGCGGAGTGTTTTTTTAACTTTAACTATATTTATTTCATAGAGAACAAAAATGTTGGTCGAAGCTGCTGAAATTAGGGCAGCAATCAAAAGAATATTCAGTGCAAACCGTAAACACATTTGCTGATTATTTAACCAATCATGGTTTAGATAAAGAACTTGGTGATTACAATTTTCATGAATAATTACAAATCTCAATCAAAGGTTATCAGATCTCAATATGATGGCTTTTGAAAATTATCAAAATTGGGATTAACATTCAATAAAATAATTAAAATGTAATATGGCAACACTACATTCCACCTGCTTCTTGTTCAGGTCATGTGGTTTTAATCAGATAAAACCAGCATGTCTGGATGTCTGACACAATACACCAATGATCAATTAGGATTCAGAAAAGATAGTGGCTCATTTTACATGCGCTGCCTTGAGCTCACAACATACTAAAACACAATCAAGAACATTGGTACTACTTGAGGCTATACAGCAAACGCCTTTGACTAATTGCAGTGATCACAATGAACACATCTGAAGGAGAGATTTGATTTAAGTGCAAAAGCAGAATCACTTGTTATGCTGTATAGGGGAAATTGAGTTGGAAGCATTCAGGATAATTTCATTTTACAGAGAGTGTGAATAGCTTATGCATTTCAGCAATTTCAAAGATGGGTGTCTGTGTTTGGCAGGAGCGTGGGACTTGTGTTTTCAGCTCATATGCAAGAGCTCATTCCTATAGGTGACATCTTTTATTCCTCTCCTCTCCCTTCTTGTCACCCACTCTTCTTCCCATGAAATAGATTTGTCTGACTGACAAACTGACAATATATATCATAATTATAATATCTATTATCTGACCATTTTCACAAAGGGCATGCAAACAGGCATCACAAATCACACAGACTGCATTTAAAGAGAAGAAGTCTCAGAGCATCTAATAACTAAAATTGCTGTTGCCGAAGAATTGATGATTTATTAATAAAAAAGGGACAAATACACAAAGGAAAGCCTCTGAGTTTGACACCAGGTGTTTGACAGTACTTTGGGGTTTGTGGGCGGGGAGACAATGATAGGATGTGGGGGGGGAGTGATGCATTTTGTTCCTGTGTGATGACAGGAATAATAAAACTGATGTAATTAAACATTTAATAACTTCTAAGTACTTGAAGTGGAAGCGCATTATAGATTAAGAATAGCTTGTCAGAAAATACTTTTCTTGTCTCCCCTGCAGAACACTTAAGGACAGCAGTGCAGTGGAGCAAACTCCTGCCATCTTAAGAAGATTATTAAAGCTTATCTTAAAAAAATATAAAGCTGAATTTAATAAACAAAAGCATCTGAAATTGTACCCTAAAATATGCCTAATATGAGACCAAAATAAAAGCCTGGGAGTGGCAATAATATCTGCATGTAATATGTTTGTGACATATTCAACAGCAAATGAACAGAACTCAAACAATGGTAAACATATAACTAAGAATCACAGAGTTTTATGTGAACACTTAAGTGTGTTAGTGCAAGTACCTACCAAACAAATGTCTTTTTATGTGTTGGCATCTTTTAGATCTCTCTACATGCATGCACGTGTGTAACGCAGCGTCCACACGGCAGCGTGCGTTGAAGCTTGCCGGCGGGCGTGTCTGAAGCTCGACCAACAACCAATCACATGAATCTCCCGCCCCGGACACACAAGCACGCGGTTTGATTGGCTAGAGCTTGTACTGGCATATGATTTGATTGGCTGACGCTTCTGTCGAAGCTTGAAAAGTTGAACATTGCTCAACTTTTGAAGCGAGCAACGGAGGCAAAGCGAAGCGACGGAACCACAATGCAGTTCGGCAAAGCGTGACGTCACCCCATTCAAAGTGAATGGGAAGCAGCGTTGAAGCTTCAGCGCACGCCGCCGTTTGGACGGGCCGTAAGAGTGTGCACGTTTGGCTACATGCACCCGTACACCTCTGTGTTCATAAATGGCTCTCACCTGTAGCATTGTTTTGAGCCTGAGCAGCTGGTTCTTCAGCGAGCCGCAGTCCTGAGTCACGTGTTCGAGTGTGAGTTCATCCAGCATCGCCATGTAGCCATGCTGCCTGCCTTCAGAGGGGACAGAGCGTGAAGAGATCCTCGAAGCCTTGAGACCGTCATAGTGTTGAACAACATGGGCCCTGCGAAAAAGAGATAAAACCCAGAGGAGAGAGTCAGAGCCAGGCAGAGGGAATACAGAATGATGTTGGCTTTGTGTCTTTCCTTTTTACATTCTACTTTTGAATTCTCTTCTGGCAACATCCTTCCAGGCCTAACCAACCTGCTATCATTGTAGAAGTTATCTGGTCCACTCCAGCGATGGTGTCTACGCCGCTGCCCTTGCCGACCGGCCCTCTCTGAGCGCTCAAAGTGGGACATCCTGTCAGCGTCTATGCAGAAGAATTTGGAGCATGATAAGACGGAGTAAAGAAACCTGAGAATATCTAAAACAGAGAAGAAGCAAGTGAAGGATAAAAGAGCATAACACTTTTTCATCTGAGCTGAAATGTATGAAGCCAGTGTTTGAGATATGGTGAAAAAGTATAGATCCAAAGTATAAAACTTCAAGAAAATCACTTCTGGTGCCGCTGTTATTTGTTGAAGTGAAGTGGGTGTTTGTTGTTGAAGATAAGCTGCATTTCTGAAAGGTTATAATTTATGTTTTTCTCTTTTTCCCACCCAGTGTTTGTCTTTTACTACCACTCTAAAGCAAACACAAAAATCAAGACTGAGAGTCAATTTTTCATATCTTGTGGTAATGAATACTTCTGTGTATATTTCAGATACCCTATCTTGAGTATTTGCATATAAATCATGGTCGGATCCCCCCTCCTTATTCTCTATTCATCTCAAATGCAAAAAACGCGCTCACACACACAGTGACAGGCCATTACATTTTCAAGGAGGTAAAAGGACACAGTATTTGGCAACACTCAATAGCACACAGCTGTGAAATGAACCATGACCGCCACAAAATTGACAACTAACAGAGCGAGACCCTCAGGAAATCAAAAGGACCCTTGAATATCTATATTCCAGATAGAAAGGGGAGAACGAGAGATGGACAAAAGAGAGATAAAGAATTACTGGGCAGATTGAAAGACAGCAATCCAAGGAATTCAGCAGTGGCATTGTATTTACTTTACCCTGAGTGTCACCATATAGCACAGGAGCAGACTTCAGCCTGAATCTGAACTATTACATTCCAGGAAACTTCAGCGCTTCCAGTAACTTCTTTTCAGCTCAGAAAAAGTCTTCTAAAAAGTCATTCAAAAGGAATATATTCCAACTTGGGGGTGAGAAATCCACAAAGGCAGAGAAACTCAGACGGAGAGTGGAGAGAAATGTCTCCTTGTCCAGTCAGCTGGTGAGCAGTTAAAGGGCCAGTGAGAGAAAGTCTACCCAGATCCCACTCTGTCTGCTTCTGTCTTTGTTGACAGGCTTGTTTTTCTGGGAACTCCCTAGGAACTGCAGCTGGGGAGAAATGACTGTGGTGGTGGTGGTGGGGGAGCAGCTGAGGTAACTGGTTTGTGTCCAAGATAGAAATTCACTAGCTGTAGCAGGAAAGAGAGAGAGAAGCTGGGGCCTCTCTCTTCTGTCACGGGACCCGGTAACTGGATGAAATGAATACATGAGGCCCCTTCTACCCATCCCTTTTTGTCTTCTTCTCCACTTCCTGGTCTGTGGCAGAGTCAGGGTGTCTTTGGGAGGGAGGGAACACCATTTCCTATCCCGTGTCTCAAGGCCTGCCCTGTGGGCTGGGTCTAACTGGACTCTTCAGCTTCTCTTGCTTTCACTCTGACGCTTTAGCACTAGCCATGACACACTGCGCTATAAATATGGTCGCTTCCCAAAAAGGAGTAGGAAGGGAGAACACGCCGATTCACATTCCTCTGGAGTGAACATTCTCCTCTCCCTCTCTCTGTCGGTTTGCTTCTCTCAAAATCAAATCATTGTTTACAGACTGAAGATGACATCAGAGGTGTAAAGATGCCTCAGTGATGTATTTGCAGTTGACTGTTTATTAGGCACACCTAGCTAAAACTAATGCAGTCTAATACAACAGGCCTGCAATACATTTGTACCATCTGCAAGGTTGTAATGTTCCCTTTTTGTCAAAGCTGTTTTAGAGACGTGTTCATCTAATGTTATGATCATTTTGGAGGATGTAGTTTATATCAATGACATTACTTAATATCATAAAAGCTGATAAATAACTTCATAAAAGGTAGAATTTACTGCAGAGCATTTGCGGTGGGCAGCATTGCTAGGGGTGCCTGACACCTAACTATTGTACATGTGCATGGGTGTGTTTGCCCATCCATATATTTCAATGTGCCTTATTCATTGGCCATGAATGGTAATGTGACAGGGCTAGCTTCAGGAGTAAAGAGGGAAAATTCACTTCCTAGAATTCATCATGTTTGATTATAGGGGAGGTCAAAATGTCCCTTTTCATGTAAGTGACCCACACTACCCACTGAATCCATAATAACGTTGTCAACACTATTATTATATGATGACCTGATCACCTTTAACACCCACGAAGAAGTTATCTTACTGTATCCCAATGAGATTGGCAATTGATTAAATCCACAAAGTGAAAATGAGTCACAGAGAAAGCACTGAAGACAGAAATAGATATCATATCAAGATGGTAGCGGGGGGTGTTAAGCTATAAAACTATTCATGCTAACACCAAACTGCTGTTGTGAAGGCGATCAAATGTAGCCTCTGATCTTCTGAGCCTATGTATGCAATGTGGATGTGCTGTAACCATACGCAACTGTGTGTGCATCTGTTCCTATAAACAAAGGCAGCATGATAATGCTCCAAGTCAGCTGCCTACCTGTCATTCAGAGCTAGTTGTGAACAATGTTGGAGTTGTAATTAAATAACTCTTCAGCAAACAAATATTAGCAGTAACAGCACATAATAGACTATAAGGTGTCCATTAAAAGATGCTAATGGATGTTGCAGAGACAATTCTTCACCCAAGGCAAAATGGGATTTATTCAATTCTAGACATATAAAAGGATAATGCTGGAAATAGAATGCTCAGGCCTTGGTTAATGCATTAATTTACAATTATGATCAGAGCACTAACGCTGGAGGTGTCCGAAGAATAATGGATGACTTCCAGCCAATGATACTAAAGCATTTCTCATGGCCAAAGAATAACCTCGCAAATGTATGTATGTGTGTGTGTGTGTGTGTGTGTGTGTGTGTGTGTGTGTGTGTGTGTGTGTGTGTGTGTGTGTGTGTGTGTGTGTGTGTGTGTGTGTGTGTGTGTGTGTGTGTGTGTGTGTGTGTGCGCTGACCATGCAAGCCTTCCTCTGGGAGGTCCACATCCAGCATGAGGTCATCCTCATCCAGCTCTCCTGATGCCGGAGGGTCCAGGTTGTTAAGCATATCCTGAGAAATCACAGGCAAAAATCATTTCGTTGTAAGGCATTAGATAACATTATGGGTACATTTTAGGCACATTATGAGAGCATTATATCATTTTTCCTCTGTGTTTTTGAAAAATGTGTTTTTGTTCGGGAAGCCTAACTGATGGGGGATGAATATATCTAGACAACAGGGGCCAGATACAATGAAGTCAAAAACACACAATGCACTAAAGGACAAATATACAGACGCAGTTTGTATTTTCGGGTCACACAGCATTTTGAAACATTTAAATCATTCCTAATCCTCCAATTAGCAAGACATGAATGTTTGCATAAATCAGGATCCTTTTGTCCTTGGTCTGGCATTAGCAATTCTTCCAAAGCAGCTTTTAGTTGCTACAAACCCATATTTTATTATGAGATATAAAAACCATAACTTTTTAGCACACAACAGGATTAATTGATGCTGTGACATAAAGTCCTTCTTTAACGGGGAATGCAGGTTGTTTTGTAGATACAGAGAAACTGGACTCAAGGGCAGGAACACATCTATGTGTAATGTATTAATTCCATTAATACTCCCTTTGTGGAACTTGTACATTACATAAAATAGAATGTCATGCTGAACTCTTGTAATTAGATGGTGCTTTCATTGCTTTTGACATTTGCGCATTAAATGTCCTTTATCTTTATACATTTTCACTCTCCGTAATTGTTTCATGTTGTCATTAACAATCAGAACTTGTGAAGGGCTGTCAAATACTTTTCCTGTGATGCCATTTCACATGACTCTCTCACTCCAGCAGCAAATGATTCCCTTCAACATAATACAGACACAGATAACAGAACACACTTCTGGGAAAATATCACTCAATTATGAACGATAATACAGAACACTTTGAAAATCCAACAAAAACAGTACTCATTACAGCCTCGGAATATGCAGTTAGTCTGACTACTGCGCTGCTGTCTGCCGAATAATTCAAAGCATACCCAAAAGCAGAGAACTGAATCAATAGTTCAAAGCTTTATTTTTCAAGGCAATTTTGGGCTTTATGAAACTAAATTGGCAGGGCTTTGACTAAAGGACACAAGCATAAAATGAGTCATTATAGTAAATCTCATATGTTGCACAATTACTGCCTGGTAGGCCTACTCAGTGTGCCAGACTTAATGAAGAAGAAAAATGAATAAAATGGAAAAAAACAGCTCATACTTCTGCAGCCCTCCAAATACTGTCAGCAAAGCTATGTATTAATTATCATCATCCATCAATCCATCCGTCCATCCATCCGTCCATTCGTCCATTCACCTACTATCTATCTTAAAGTGGACCTATCATGCTATATTTGAATAATATAGTGTAGGACCATACCTATACAGTATAAGGCATATTTATACTTTTTTTTTTCAAAATACCAAACAGATCATGCATTTTAGCCATGCCTCATTTTGCTCAATTTGACATTTTTTAGATCTGTTTTAGCAAGGGTTGATTCTGTGAGCAACAGCACCATCTAGAGGCCTGGCATATGTACTACAACGTCTCCAGCGCTTTCGAACGGCAATGCCGTGGCTGTCTCCTCCTGATTGGTGGAGTTGGCCCAATAGCCGTAGCGCCACTGTCCTGACGTCAGGACAGTGTTCAAATCTGGATCAGTTTTTATCAGATCCGTTGCAGCCCCTTTTTTAGAGATTTGGGTATGGAGGAAAATAGAGAGGGTTGTGTTTTCTGACACTTGGTGAGTTCCCTGGAACACCGGGGACACATATTCATGTATAAAAGACGTACAAAAGTGCATTTTGCATGATAGGTCCCCTTTAAGTAGCGTCAATGGGTCAGATGCTCTTTTTCAAAAACAGCCTACACTCGCATATATCTGGTGAAATGTAACTGATATACTGACTTTCATTCATTTGACACGGTACTGAGGTACAACTCTTACATCGTTTATTGGCTCCAGCTCTTTTCAGCTGTCTGACAGTTCACCTCTGTGTATTAAAAAGCTTTGCACACTCTATAGAGCAGCGGTTCTCAAACTGTGGTCCGCGGCTGCAGGTGGTCCGTGGAAAAAAGCTAAATAAAATCCACTTTTTATTATCAAGGATTTTCGCGGACCACCTCATATATGCAAACTGTAAAAATAAGTACATATATAAACGTAGTGTTAAAACGCAGATATTTGTTGTTGTTAATTATGGACAACACTTAATTTCACCACTGGTTACCCATGGTTACGTGTGCGCGTTTAAAACCACAAACATGGATCGGTGGCTAGCATCAGGTTCTCTGAAGAGATAAGAGGTTAACGTTACCCTTAATGAAGATAACATCTACCAATGGTTGTACTCCTCCACCTCTTTGCTGTCCTACTAGTCAACCCTTCAGATCAGAGCCTTTCCTAAATAGTGGTAAGTTGTTTTACAGTTCAGTGTATGTTAATTTAGAAACGTAATGCTTTACTGCTGTTGAATAAACCCTATATTGCTAGTGATTTTATTAAAACTATGATTTGCAATCTTTTTTATTCCAATTACAATAATATTTTTGTTATAATTGTAAAACACATCTTAACATCCATCAGCAATCAATAAAACAAATCATCCAACACAAAATAGAAGAAATCTGGACCTATTCTATTTATTTTTATACAACAGCATCTATTGGGACTGCTCATTGATGTCATCAAGAGCCATTGAGTCTAGCTTTTGTAGTCGGCCTCTTAGAATGTTTATAATTTCTTTGTCTCTTAACATTCCTATAATAATTTGTTTTGTTATTGTTGATATTGTTTTGTTCTTTATTTTTGTTGTGAGAATCACTTTGCAATTGTGTAAGTGCTATATAAATAGTTATACTAATATTATTGTTGTTACCATCATTCAAAATGTTTTCTTTGTATTTTTATTTATCGCTGCAGAAAGGATCATGCCAGCCCACATCAAACACCTGATCTGAGTTATCTTTGTATTTAGGCTGCAAGTCGACAAAGGTGATCAAGTGCTGATGCTAATAATGATCAGATTCTTCTATTTCCCAGATAATACAGCTGCACCGTGTACAATTGTAATTCACCATAAGCAATTGTTGACTGTAACGTCTATGCCAACCAACTGTAATTTGTAATGTATTTTACCATACTTTAACGGTCAAGTTCTGGCAACCACAGCAGCCCAAATGTTAACGTAAATGTCAAGTTTTCTTTTTACAGTGTACTTAGCCTATATCTGTACTGTACATTTCTTTTCAGTTTGCTTCAAGAAGTGGCTTCAACAGACAGAAATGCAGGCCATATTGGGAAAGGCTGGACGGCGGACGCTACACAACGGGAAACATTATGAACATGAACAAGGAAAAACAAAAAACACTTTCTTTGTTGCCTTTTTCTTATCATACATAGTGTTACTGTTTTTGTTACCATTGAAATATTTAATTATATGTATTACTTTTATTTTAAATCAAATGCACCTGTTTTAGATAATATATTTATTTTTGATGTGTTGATTTGCAGGTTGGTTGTTATTTGTATAATTATTGTATTGTTACTGTGTATTTGATTATATTCACTAGCTATTTATTGCTATTTATTAAATTAAAAAATTAAAATACTGTTATGAACACTACACAATGTCTTTATTTTGGTAGATACCAGAATACATGACACAATGAATCTTTGTAATATATTTATGTTCTCTGGTTTAAATAATCATACCAGTATTTAAACAATGCATGATGGTCATCTCGAATCCTGGTAAGCTTCCAGCATGGTATATTTAATACTATTATTAAACATAAACTGGTGATAGATGGATGCTGGTGACCAGCCCAGCATACCAGCATACTATGCTGGTCTATGCTGTTTTTTTTTAGCTGGCCAGGATGGCTGGTTTAGCTGGTTTAGCTGGTTTAGCTGGTTTAGCTGGTGCACCAGTTAAACCAGCTAAACCAGCCACCAGCTAAACCAGCCATCCTGGCAAGCTAAAGTGTCCAAAACCCCTCTAAACCAGCCAACTTAGCTGGTCAGGCTGGTTGACCAGCCTGACTTGGTCTAAGCTGGTTTGTTCAGCAGGGAAGATACATTAAACACAAAATATACACTTTCCAAGCATTTTCTTATAGCTACAGTGCTTAAAATGGACTTATCATGCTATATTTGAATAATATATTGTAGGGCCATAACTATATAAGGTATATTTATACGTTTTCTTTTTCAAAATACCAAACAGATCATGCATTTTAGCCATGCCTCATTTCGCTCTATTTGCTCTCCTCCACCCCTGTCTTTGCATGAGCTGCAGCTGACCACGCCCCCCTGCAAAGGAGAGGGCCGAGTTACGAGCGTCATGTTACCATGCTGTTACCATGCCATGGCAACCTCTCAGGCCCCGGCTCCACGAGGACGAAAACTGGTTGAATCCGCATATTTCTCATGCGTATAGCCCTCTAAGCTCCACGACGCCGTAAGGGAAACGTAGAAACAGACCCCGCAAACGACAACGGGTCCAAAGGTGGATAGATCTGGGAACGGAGCGCTCTGGGGGGTCCAACGGGGCCGTGGAGTCGCCTATACGGTCATTCGTTTTCATAGCCCCGCCTCTCCCCCGCAGGGTTGCTATCGTGCTCCAGTCGCTACTGACCATGCTACAGTTCTTTGTGCAACATCTACAGGAGCTCCTCCTTGAATTCAGATTATTTATCTTTATCTCGATATGGACATAAACGCGAGTGAAGTCTAATCTGACAGGACGGAGACACGCAGCTCCTGCCGCTGTGATGCAGCGGGAGCAAAACACACAGTTCAAGTCAGATCATCACCCTTAGCTATTTTAATTACCTTTCAAACTACCTAAACTAGTTATAAATATGTTCATTTTTACTGTCGGGTCACTCATTACAGGATCAGCTGCTGCATGAGACAGACACTGACGCTGTCAGAAGAGAGGAAAAAGAGACAGGCTCCGTGTATTTGATGATTATATATCATTATATCGTCGTTATTCATTTGTTTTAAAGCTCAATAA